ACAATACACAAGAGTAAGACTTCATTTTAAGCCATTGTGCAATCACCTCTACGTACACTACACAAATGCACGTAAACTAGGACAAAATATTTCTTGAAATCAAATTAATGAATGTTGTAGATGTTCAGCTTTTAGAAAATTATTTGGTGTTTTTCTGGTTCCCAGATGGAAAAACCCCTTACTCTGTGTGTGTGTGTGCACGCACGCACGCACGCACGCACGCACGCACGCACGCACGCACGCACGCACGCACGCTATATACTAGATAGATAATTACATTGGGTCTGGGCTACTTTGACAGAACGCCATTTAGCAGCTCTTCTAACACTTGTCTGTGCTTTATACCTAGAACTTAATTTGAGTGCATAGAACAGACTGATGCACATCAAGTAGTTTAAAAATCTTAGGTAAAAAGATTCACAAACATTCCTTTTATGGTATATATGGACGGAGACACATGCAACTGTAGTGGCCTGCTGACTTCTGGTGCGATCAAGTCAACCTGTGAAATGTTGGGCCACTATCTCTATAAACTACTTTAATGCTTTTGTTTCCACTTCAGAAGGCCTAACGGCACCATATTTGTTCATTAAAAAGTCTTGGTGTTACTCCTAATAGGTAATGTAATCAAGAGCTGTTGTTTTGCATAGAATGACGTAACATAGAAGAATGTTTGTGAATCTTTTTACGTAAGGTTTTTAAACTACTTGATGTGTATCAGTCTGTTCTATGCACTCAAATGAAGTTCTAGGTGTAAAGCAAGAGCTGCTAAATGATGTTCTGCCAAAGTAGCCCATACCCAATGTAACTAAGAACACACATTTCCTTATTTATACCTAAGGGAACTACTAAGGTACATGGGGAGTAACAAAGTAAGTTAACAGAGAGCATACAGCAGTGCCCACCACTTGCAACTGGTCCCACCCCTGCATCTCTGCAGCGTCTCACTGACTCTGAAACAAGTCTTCAGGGGAAAAGGTGCTCAGACAACACCAGGGTCTAAGTAGTAATAGTAAATTTAGTATATGGAAAACTTTTAGTTCTGGAGCATTACTTAAGTTTTTAAAGAGCTTGACATTGCAGCATTATTAAGCATGTGCTTGGTTTTTCTGGTTTTCTTTTCCTTCTGCCTCTCCTGAAGAATATAAAACGTATCCTAGCTTCACAAATGCCGGTACATGTATTGCAGTTAATCTTTAGTGTATGGGGCATGTCTAGTTAGCACAGTGCAGTGTGATGAAGAGAAACCAGATCTAGCTTCAAAAAGCAAAGTTAATGCTGTGGGTGCTAATGTGGCCATTCTGTTTCCAGTATTCAGAGCTTGCTCTGGTGCATCTCTGCTACCCCATATTGTGCCATATTAGCGATTTTAGTAAATCTACAAATTCAGAGTTTCTGTTCAATTCTTTCTCTTTGTTCTGTTCAGATCTGGCAGAAAGTGACCTGGCATATACAAAAGCCATTATGGGCAGTGGGAAGGAAGACTACACTGGGAAAGAAGTGCTGATCCTTGGAGGTGGTGATGGGGGTATACTTTATGAAATAGTCAAACTGAAGCCAAAGATGGTCACTATGGTAGAGATATCCTTTCAGTGTGTAACTGATGACTCATTTTAATCGGTGTTGTTTTTTGTGGTATGAAGTGTCCAAGACCTTAAAATTCCAGACATTGCTTCCCAAGTTAACCATTAGATATATGAAATCTATGGTCATCCTGTACTCTCTTGTCTCCTTAGCTGGAAATTGAAATTGAAATTGTAGTTTTAAAATTAAGTCCAATCCATCACTACCAGTTTTGTTTAATTTCAAATACTATATGTTAACTGTAATATAAAGCTTTTTAATTATGTGGGAATTTCTAGTGCCAGTAAAGCTGATTGGAAATAAAACATTAAAAAATATATAGTTTCTTTAAACCTGTCATGGAGGTTGGGGATTAATTCATATGTAAATGTGTCATTAGTATTCTTCTATATGATTCAGTTTCTTTGAGAAGCTCCTTTGGCTGAAATTAAAAGCACCTTAACTGACATCAAACATTGACCAATTGGTGATCGACGGGTGTAGAAAATACATGCGTAAAACATGTGGAGATGTCTTAGACAATCTTAAAGGAGAGTGCTATCAGGTAATCTTTCTCTTTTCGTTGCAAGTAAAACTTATGTAGGAACATATAATTGAAAGAGACTTGAAAAACTAAACTTTTCAGAAAGGCTTTTGGGTGACTTCGGAATTACTTAACACTTTCTTTTCCTTTTGATTTGCATTTTAATTGATATCTGTATATCTAGATCATAGTACAGTTTGCAGAAGAGTTAAAATTCAAATGCTAGTGTATTACTTTATTCTGCACCTCCAAACCCACTACAAATATTTTTAAAAAGATGAATAACCCATACTTTTCACGAGAAGGAAACTAGGAACACAGTGATGCATGTTGCCACCACTGAACCTTGGTATGGGGTAAATGGGGAGGAAAAAGACAATGGCTATAAAAGAAATAAATAAAAATACAGGGGGAATTTTTTTACTATAATCCTCTAAACTGGTTGAGAAATTATATAAGTCACAAACTTGAATTATAATACATTATTCAGTATCTCTGATATATTTCACATGACTGGAGCCCTGTAGAGCACAAACACGGAAAATGCTATATCATTAGCCTGTAGGTTAATATTGTGCCCCCATTGTAAGGAAGAAAAAAACGAGGTCCCTGGCCTATATTAAACTGGTGGTACTGGGACATGAGGAATGATGCCCCAATCCAAACATTGTACATCCTGCCATGCCATGTGCTTGGCAGGATGCTCATTGGCAGGATGCAGCATAAAATTCCTCAGATTAAAATCATGCCACTTGCAGAGCTGCCCTCAGCTGGGTGTTGGGATTGGACACCGACAGCCCTGGATCCCAGTTTGGTTTAAGAGCTGCCACCAGCCTGATCCTGGGGATCAGGGAATCTGGGACTGGTGCCAGCAATCAAATGAATTGTCAGCACCGTCCCTGGGCACCCTGGATCTTTGAAGTGCTGGGTCACAGTGGGTTTCCTGGGGCATGGTACCTTAATGAATTCAATACCTTTTAAAGAACCTTGCCCTACAGCTGCTCCCAGGGGCTGCAAACAGGGCAGCAAACATGCTGGATCCTGGCTAGCCCTCATTGGTGCAGACTGGGTATTGCCCAGGTCCTGATGCCAAAAATTTATCCAATTGTGAGCACCAGAATGGTGAGGTATGCAACATATTCAGTTTATGGTGCAATACAAATCAGCCGCAAAGAAGCTCTGTTTTTTCCCGTGGAATAGCTTTGTGGCTGGTGTGCCATTTTATAGTGCCATAAATTTGATGAATTGCAGTATCTTGTTACTTATGGTGGGATTAACTCTTCAGTTGTGCCGTAAATATCTTGCTTGCCAGGGGGCATATAACATGCCCTATCTACCAGATCAGGCCAGTTAGCTCATATTTAATGGATGGTCCTGTATCATAACTGCAAGGCTGTATCCAAAATTCATATCTTGCTAGTTAGGATTCATGAATGTCTGCTTCCTACAGAAAACATAATAATTGCATTGCATGTTGTTTTGGCTTTTGTCAAGTTCTTGTGATTCAAACATTTAAAAACTTCCCATTATCTTGTAAGGCTGGTGACGGTCATTGCGCTTTAACTTCCCCATCATCAAAATGGCAAACTCAGTCATCACCCAGCAGTTGGTGGTAGGGCTGGGAATAGAAGTTCTTTTTGTTTGTTTGTTCTGTATTTTAATTTTAATTTTTGCTCAATTAAATTCCGTACGTTCCCATTCTCTCAGTTAAGGGAATGTCTTTTACATGATAATGTAAAAAGCCACAAGGTAGTCCTTGATTTTAGAGGTAAATGTAGTTTTGACCACATTTCAATTTTCAATTTTAATCCCTATGAATCCATGTTTATTTTTTTTTTAGATAGTCCCATTTAAAAGGATCCTGATTATCAGGGATCCTGGTTTTCTCTGTATTAAAAAAATCCCCAATTTTTGGTTTAACTTTTTTTAAACTGAAAAAGTGGGAATTTTTTAAAATCAGAAAACCAGGATCCCTACTGATTTACACATTAAAATAATATTTTTTGTTCTTTTAGGTTCTAATAGAAGATTGTATTCCAGTGCTGAAGAGGTATGCCAAAGAAGGAAGGAAGTTTGATTATGTAATTAATGATCTGACAGCTGTTCCAATCTCCACATCTCCAGAAGAAGGTTAATTCTCTTTGCTTCTTTTCTGACTTTATTTTTTCATCTGACAATTTGCAGCAAAACATTTTGGGGCTTAAAGACATTTTAATCCTTGCTATAGCAGAATGTGAGCATTGAAGAGCAACAATTTCTAGGTACTCCTGTTTCCCTGGATTTAGGTCCCTTTTAAAAATTACACCTAAAATGCGATTTACCCTGGTAATCACGACATAAAGCCAGCCACAAAAATATTACACATTTTTTTTATGGAATATTTTTTTCTGGCTTGCTTCCACTGCACCTTAAATTTAACGTGTTGTAGGGTAGCAACACATTGGAGCTCGTTCCAGACTTCCATGCGGTGCTGGGGCTGGGACTGTCTATCAGCTGATTGTTGGTCATAGCCCTGGGACCACTCCAGCTCATACTGGGCTGTGATCCTGTGGCTTTCAACTTAGTGGTGCAGGGGGAGCCTGGGATCATGATAAGCAGTAATGGCACTGTTGGGATCTGATCTCTGATTCCAAATGGCCATGTCTCTTTCCCATGTGCATAGAGCTCCATTTAAACAGTAATAAAGTATGTTAGACAATGGCAATACAAATCTGCCTCTACAGCTTGCCATAGGTTTTTGACCTATGTTGGGAACTGTTTAAAAGGATCTTTTGAGTCATGTAGCACCCTGCTATTGTTGGTGGTTATGTCCTGTAATTCCTTTCACAATATGATTTAAGCTCTAATTTCAAACCAGTTAGAATACTTGGGGTAATACAATGCAAGCGCTGTTTCAGAACTGCCCTCCTCTGATTATAAACCTTCAGCTTCCAGACTAAACTTTCGTTAATAGTCAGTGTTACTTGTGTATTCTTGTGCTAACGTTTTACTTTAGCGTGCACAGCTGTTTGTTCTCTCTCTCTCATATATTCTTCTGCTAACATTTTTAGTGTGCATAGCTCTTTGCCACCTCCCAACCCCTCCTTCCCTCTCGCTGCATTTAAAAAAAATGGTAAAAGCTTGGGTTGCTCTGGTATGATTCCAGACGGCATCCCACTTCTGTTACTCCAGGTCTCGAGACGCACTTCTGTTACTCCAGTCCTCAAAACATCCAGCTTTTCTCTGTATGATGTATTCTCATCTGCTGTATGGGTGATGCATCCCAATTGACTGTCCTTAACAAATTTCACTGAATCCAAAGACAAATCCTCAAGCAACTTCCCTCTAGGCCACAGTCTCTCCTTTTAGTACAACCCATTGTAATCTACTTTATAGCCCATGTTTTTTACCTGATTATCAGATGGTCTGTGATCTCCAACCATAATTTAACTAGCTAGTTTGATGCCTTCACCAAAATTTTAACAAGGGCGTGTTCTTTTCTCTCTGCTATTATTTAATTTACTATGCAATGGACCTCTGGCATGCAAACTGGTAGACAGTGTATTTAGAAATCTAGACTTTTGCTGCTAATATCTGTCCCCTGAATAACTCTACAATGAACAAAAAATGCAGCAAAGACAGTAGTCAAGTTGACCACTGCTAAACTATTATGCCTTATAATTATAGGTAAAAAATGAAGGTTATGAAAATTTAAAATAATGACCTTTGGATTCTAGAAGAACTAGCCTTGAGTACTGTAAATTACTTTTCTTATCCAAATAGTCTGTTTCTTAATTCAGGTTAGTAAATCTAAACTACGATGGTTCAAGTAGGTAAGGCAAGCAGCTTATGCCATTATGGAAATCTGTATGGAAATCTGAGTATTAGCACTAAGCTGTAAATCTTTAATAACACCAGTGACCTAAGCATGCTCTGGGTGGATTAGATTTATTAAAGAGCATCTAGTTTGTGTAAGGGAAGTTAAACAGCTTTCCATGCAGATGTTTGTACCAGACATTTTGAGTGAAGAGGAGCAGACAGAAATAAATGTTTTAGATCATGGAGGAAGCACAGTTGCTTTGCAGATAGAGTAGATGAGAAGATAGCCTTACGTTGACCACGTTTTTTGTCTGCCAAGTCATAGATTCTCCAAACAAGCCATGTTTGAGCAACTCCAAGGCAAAAGGAGAGAGTTTGCTTCACCCCAGTCTTCACAGCACATTAAATACCAAAGCAGCATCTTTACAAATTAACATCTTGAGTAAATGATGGAGGATGGGTTGTTGATGAAGGATCAACATGTCCTGAAGGTGCAAGATGTGGATGGTGTAGCTACCTTCCAGTTCTTCCCTGTTGAACTGATAATTCATAATTGGCACCATCTCAAATGTTTTACGGAAATCCACGTTAATTAGATTTAGTGCATTTCCTTTGTCTAGGAATCAGATACCAAATTATCTTGGCATGACCTATGTTTCGTGGACCCTTTTGAGAATTTATTCTACTTCCCATGGCCTGAATTATTTTTTCCTTCAAAATTTGTTACGTGCCCTTTCTTATTGTTGAAATGAGACTAAGGGCCCCATAGCTCTTAAGATTACCTCTCCCTCACCCCTCTTCTGCTTTTCTTAAAATATAGGGCTTCTGGTGTTCCTGAGCCCTGATTTGATGGGTTCGGAATCTATATGTATACTTTCTTGAATTGGGCCTTTTATAAAATTGGAATATATAACATAAAGATGTCTTGAGTATTTTCTGGCAGGGATATAATTCAGTTTTTAAATACAATTTACTTCCATATCTGAGGTGCATGTAATGTACATTTTAAGCATTTTTTTGTCCGGTTCCCTTTTCTCTTGGTGGCAAAATCTATGTGATGGTATCAATAAAAATGGTATATCTTCATAATATAAGCATAAAAATTGGTCATAATGTGGTCTGCAGACAGACTGTCATTCCCTTACAGAGACATCGAACTCTCTTTGATCTTGTAATTTATAGCCGTCAGATGCATTCTTGAATCCATGCAGATTCATAGATTCGTAGATGTTAGGGTCGGAAGGGACCTCAATAGATCATCGAGTCCGACCCCCTGCATAGGCAGGAAAGAGT